ACGCTAAAGCATGCAAAATCATAAGCATAAGCTACCAAGCTCAAAATTATTGTTTCAGGATCTCTGTTAGACCCCAGCAGCCGTGCCCATTACATGCTTGGCAAAGGGTGTTTATTGTTCAAACACGAGTTTATGTCCTTTCTAAAATTCAATCGTTCATCCCAAAACTACTTAAGGAGTTTCACTGTAGTCCGACCCCCACTCTGGTTTCTTTCTTCGAACTTATAAGAGAATTGTTGCTGTGTTGTTTTGGAGGGTATCTAGCCGATGTGATGAAAGTTTGTCATTCCTGTGCTACCTGCCTCCAAATTACACACACTCATTTCTGCTCCATCTCGGTTTGTTACAGCCCCCACCTATCCCAACCCAATGTTTGGATGATCTTTCAATGGATTTTTAGGAGGTTGGCCGAAAGCCAAATGGTTGACACTATTTTTGTGTTGTCGATCGTCTCACAAATACTCTCTTCTTGTTTTGACCATCCTTAACCGCAAAACGTTGCTACTCTTACTCACACCACCTAGTAAACGTTACATCGTAGGTGTAAGACTTCATGGATTCCCACACAACCTTGTCTCGGATCGCGATAGGTTCTCATGAGCCAATTTTGGCAAAGTTGTTTAAATCTGCAGGTACCTCTCTTAATTCAGCTCTGCCTACCATCCCCAAACGGATGGGCACGAAAGTGGTCAACCGTGTTTAAACCCTACCTTCGTTGTTTTTGCAGCTCCCAACCCGGCATGGCCAAATGGTTAACCTGGCTGAGTTTTGGTACAACACTAGTACCACAGCTCCACCAAAATGACCCCTTCAAAGCTTTGTATGGGCGAGACCCTCCATTCGTTTAAACTCATGGACTGCCCCTGGCCTTGATTGAAGATCAACTGCCAGATTAGGACCGAAATGCCATATTGGACAACCTTAAGCATAATTTAGCTGCTGCCAGAGACACATGAACATCGCCGATGCCACACCGCCCGGAGGTGTTGTTTCAACCATTGGGATTAACGCTTATTTGAAGCTCAAAATAATCGGTTTCGGTCCTTAGCTCAAAGCTCAATGAGAAGCTAAGTCCTCATTTCTATGGCCCCTTTTAAGGTGTTACAAAAGATTGGGCCAGTGGCTTACCGGCTGAGACTACCTCCTACTTCTCTTATCCACCCGGTTTCATGTTTCCCAACTTAAACCAAGTCTCCATTCTTCAGTTCCTGTTTTCAATAGCTTCCCTCGTTTTTAAACTGAAGACTTAGAGTACAGGTGCAACCTGAAGACGCCTGTCCACTCGTAAATTGCTGGATGTTTCTAAGGTTCTGATTAAATGGCAGGACCTCCCTCCATTTGAAGCTTCGTGGAGGCTTATGTGTGATTTGCCTGCAGTTTTCCTGATTATTCACCTAAGGACAGGTGATCTCGAAGGGGGGATTGATACGCCTCCTATAACCAAGTGTAAAAAAAGAAGAAGAAAAAGGGCAACCTGGTCATTTTCAGTGGACGAGGCAGCAAGGAATTCAGATTAAAATTAGTTAGGGGAATCTCCACGTAAGGGAGTGCGGAAAGTGTGAATTCAGTTATATATAAGAGTAGTAGCTACTGCTGTAAGGGGGGGAAAAACGAAATTTGGGAGGTGCTAGACCATCGAAGTGCTAGCAATCTTTTTATCTTTGTTAATGCTTGTTATCGTTTTTGTGCATTTGTGTTCATCTGCTGCTTGTAGAGTTCATTCATTTTAATTCTCTATATATTAAACCAGTAGGTGCAGTGACAGAGTGTGTTTCTAGTGTTTATTACCTATACTACTGTTGTGTTGGACTGGTGTTCTCATCAAAGCCTGACAGATAAAGACAAAATCCATCTCTTCCCGAAAAGGAGTTCCCTACTAAGTAGACTCAAGTCCTACTAGGATTCGGGCCCCGACGATTCACTATATAAGCTGAGGTCAATCCCCTCATTGGGATTTAGAAAATACCACCCTTAAGCCCTGATTCTCATATCGCCAAACCCTTGATCTACTTCAATCCCCTCGCATCGCCTATACTCCCTCAGAGATCAGGAGGCACCCGTAGGTCTATCAGGTTGTCAGTGGCTTTTTCACAAGATTCAGTTTCATTCAATTGTAAATTTTAACATTGACAGATAGCTAGTGCCATACTTTGGTATTTACTACATTATATATATTATTCGTAGTCTCCACCAAGATTATCTACAAAGTGGCTTTAAATATATGCAAGAATTTCATAAGGCGGCAATATGACAAAAAGAATTTCATATATGAATTATATAAAAGAGTCACATTATATATGGTACATAAGAATAATAACATTATAATTAAAGTAAAAATAAAGCATAGCACTGCATATATTTATTGAACAAATTTATTAATGAAAGAGCAAACCAATTCTGTCAAAGTTTTTTCACATGATAAAATGAACAACTTTATTAATTAATTGGTATATGTTTAAAAGTAATTTTTCCTTTAATTTACAAGGTACAGGAGAAATCTTGAATAGAATGATATATCGCTCTTGCTTATGTAAAATAGGCTGGAATGCAATCTCATGCATTATGCCATTACATATCTGAAACAACGCAACCATTCCAGATCTTTTGATTTTTTGTATTTATATTTTTCTTCGTTCCATCTAAATTTAAAATAGGGATATATTATATTCAATGTTCCTTTCACATTCATAATTTGAATTCTTGATCTTTTATCTTAGTTGATTATTCTATTTAGTTTGGTATGGATAATATATCCATAACTTTGGTTGAAATCGAGCTTGCAAATGGCCAGTATTAATTATTCAAAGGACACTCTATTTTCCAAGTCAATGCACATGATTGTATTTTATATTGCAATTATTCCTTAGAAGAAAAACCATCGATAGTTATGAAAACGTGGGTGACTATATTAGATGTATTGTATCATTATTCATATTATAGATACAAATTGCTTATACAAATAATCAAATCCATGTCTTAGGTATGATTAAATAATAAAGACTAAAAGGAAAGAGTGCAGTTACATATATAAACTCTCTGTAAATACATAATAATTCATAGAGAATAACAATTGAAAAAATAGAAAATAATAATAATAATAATAATAATAATAATAATAATAAGATAGTTGTTAGTAGAATTCTAAATCCTTATATTCAATTATCACCAATAAAATTTTCAACAAAATTACCTTTCTTTGTGAAAATCTTTCGTATAGGCTAGAATGCAATCTCATTATACTATTATATATATGTGGTTTGGAGGCACCAAATCAAAAATTATTGGCCGGCCTATGGATACAGTTATGCAGGAGACTTCTATACTTGCTTTTAATAATTTGAGTAAACGACTTTTTCCCACCCAAGGTTGGTCTTATTTCCCACCCCAAAAGTTTCAAAATACCACTTTCCCACCCAATGTTTATATTCTGTTAATACCTAAAATACACTTCACTTTCTTAGCTGGCGTTCAGCGAGTTACCAGTAGCTAGGGTAAGAGAGGTTTTGTAGAGTGGAGTCCGGTGGATCGAATTGTGGTGATTGATTGAATATTCGTCTCTGGAAATCAGTTAAGAACTAGAAACTCTAACTTTACGATGGTCGAAAATCAGCAAGAAATCAGGTGCCGAAGTAAGAAGGGTTTTATAGATAAGAGATCGGAGGTTCAAATTGTGATGATGAAGAGAATTTTTGCTGTCGGAATCGGCTTTAGGTAGTAATAGAATATTAACTTTCACTCAAATTAATGTGATGAGTTTGATACTTCTTTGCCATGTCACTAGCCAAGTCAGCAAGTTGTTTTTAACGTTTGAAAAGTCAAATATTGTGGCTTATTAAATGGTGCCGTTTTGGAGAATGGAGGACCATTTTGTGCTTTTGTCTTCGTGGCATTCATTCACCTACAGCAAAAACAAATTCAGTTGCTCTCTCTCTTTTGCAATGTCGCACCATTCAGTTAAGATTCTTCTTAATCTTCATCCTACGGCTGGAAGGAAGATTGATTCCAGGTGGAAGGTTAACCAAGGTGTTTAGGCCAGTCTCGGCCTTTTGGGTTAAGACCAAGTGTGTTGTTAGTAGAATTCTAAATCCTTGCATTCAATTATCATCAATAAAATTTTCAATAAAAGTTATCTTCCATTGTGAAATTCTTTCTTACAGGCTAGAATGCAATCTCATTATGCTATTATATATATGTGATTTTGAGGCCCAAATAAAAAATTATTGGTTGGCCGATCGATACAATGATGCAAGAGACTTTTATATTTTGCCATTAATAATTTCGGTATCCCTTACGATTTTGAATTGATAATAAATTTATTAATGCATTATACCCTTTAATAAAAGGAAATCTTGGTCCCCGAATACACAAAGCTACTCCATGGTCATTTTGTCGTAGGCAGGAAGTAAGTCGAAGGAGGAAAGTATATAGAGAGTTACTTCAACAATGAGCTAGCATTCGGATCCCTTCATCAATGGTGACTTAAGAACAAAGATTTAATTAGTATTTAGTAACACTTTTTAAGTACATTCACACTTGAAAAACCTATCATATACAGTACATGTATATGTTGTAAATAATATATGAATTAAAGAAGAAATTCTAATTGAATTAATATGCAATATAGAATAAAATAGTTATTCTAATAAAAATACAGGAAGAAGTGTTTCTCATTAATGTTGACTCACGTGAATGTCAACCCTTCACTCTTTATATTTATCTATTGTGTCATTTACAAAAAATGTGCAAGCTACTTATACTAATTCTTGCCACCATTCTGACAAAGAGGATTGAGAAGGGATGTTGACGTTTTCCTAATTGGCTCCACTTGCATTAGATAATTCTGCAACTTAAATTATTCAACTCCATTTCCATAGAGTTGGTAGGATAAGAAGTGACCCGGTCTAGGAGATTAACAAGGAATGGTGGAAATCCACTCACTTCAGAACACTATAAATATATTGAAACCCCACATTCTCGAAGCATACATTTCTTGCATATCTATCACATAGTTAGCTGAAAACAAGAAATGGGATCTACCAAACTCATTTCACTTCTCTTCTGTCTCCTGTTGGTCATCTCTACCTCTGCAGCCACTCAGAAAAAGATATCACGCGAGCCTTGTAAAACGCTTGTGGTCTACTTTCATGACATACTTTACAATGGACAGAACGCGAAGAATGCAACTTCAGCAATTGTAGCTGCACCGGCTTGGGGCAACAAGACTATCTTAGCCGAACCAACCCATTTTGGCGACATAATTGTGTTCGATAACCCTATTACCTTAGACAACAATCTGCATTCAACCCCAGTTGGACGTGCACAAGGGCTATATTTATATGACGGGAAACACACCTTTAATACTTGGTTTGGTTTCTCTTTTACGTTCAATTCTACAGGGCACAAGGGTAGCATAACCTTAGCTGGGGCTGATCCATTCTTGGAAAAGACTAGGGATATTCCAGTGATTGGAGGAACTGGTGACTTCTTCATGGCTAGAGGTATTGCCACTTTCATGACTGATGCGTTTGAGGGGAAGTTTATTTAGGGTCCGCGTTAATATCAGTTTATATAATGCTGGTGATTGTTTTGCCCTTTTTAATACAAGTTTTTCATGTTTCACGCTGTGGAGTTATGTAAATAATATTTCAAATAAACCATGATCAAACATAAGGATAAAAATACTGTATTGGCTTCAATTCGCAAATTAACGAAATTTGAGTTGTTCTTTTTTCTCTGAATTGTGTCTCTATCAGTATTACGTGGAGATAAAGAAAAGAAAAGAAAACCTTAAATATTGGGAATTTGGTATATCTAGCGCCTTAACTTTCTTATTTACTGCGTACGTATATATAATTATTGGGTCTCCAGACTCTCCGCCAAGAATATTATCAGAGATGAATTTCCACCAAGAAAGGATATTTCAGTTATTGGAGGAACTGCTGAGTTCCTCATGGCTGAGAGGAATTGCCACTTTGATGACTGATGGCTTTGATGGAGAATTTTACTTTCGGCTACGTATTACTATTAACTTGTACGAGTGTTGGTAATGGTAAAGGTTTAATGGTTGTCGAATAATTCTTTTCAACTTGGTAAAACTTTTGTACTTTCTATAAGAGCTTCATCATTATTTATCCATTTTTAGCCCTTTGCTTTTATATATGTTTCGTCTATGATACTTTTAATTTGTTTTACATCATTCTCCATGAAATTGATGTTTAATTGTAGACGCAATAATGCAGAGGCTGATGTGTTAATATCAACCAGAGCACCCTTGGATTAGCTTTGGTTTCCCCTCTGTGATCGGTGAACCAGATCATGATCCAAAATTAAGTTTAATGTTAACTAGCATTACACTAATGTTTGTAATCAAACACAATTGAAAACAAAAAAATTAGTTTTTTTGGTTAAGCAGTGACCAATAGATAAGAAACTCTGCATTCTCCAGGCATAACTAAACTGTTTTATTAACGGATGGGTAGCTTAGTGTTAGTTTTTGAAACGTTTGGTAATGATTGATTTTTCTTTAAACCTTGGGTGGGTCCTAGGTGATTTTCCCATTGAACATATAAAACATGTCGGCTTGTCGTTTTTTTTCCAACTATTACTAACCGTTACAACTGGAGGGTTTCTTTATTAACGGACGGCTTGTAGGTAGATATTTTAAGCCATGAACGACAAACCACTCAAACATCAACTTGGAAACCGACTTAACATCCTTAATGGGGTTATCTTATCCTTGAATGGTATGGGTGAAAGTAGGTAATTTTGGGAAGAAGATAAAAGGTTGTTAGAACTTAAGCCCAAGAGAGAGCATAACCCAAAAGACCGGTCTGATAGATGGAAGAGCCCCTATGCTTAAGTACCACACTTGGTGGGTGTGAGACCCCGATGTGGGATCTTAACATTGCACCCCTTTCAAGAGCTAACGTCCACGACGGCTTTCACTCTATCAATACTGACCTGACGGTAGCCCTTTCTCCCTTTGGATAGCTTCACTCACCTATCAGTTATTCGATCGACCCCCACCCCCCCCCCCCCCCCCCCCCCCCCCCCCCCCCCCCCTCCTTTCCCCAAGGAAAGCACACTACACCTTAATCTAGCCTATAGGTAGCCTTTTCTGTAACCCAACTCTCAACGAAAGCACCAATGTTAGAACTTAAGCCCAAGGGAGAGCCTAACCCAAAAGACCGACAAGATAGGTGGAAGAACCTCTAGGCTTAAGTACTACACTTGGTGGGTGTGAGATCCCGATGTGGGATCCTAACAAAGGCTGAAAATTTATTAGCACTATACACAGATAGCTTATCTCTCTATCTTCTGTGTATTGATAGTTAAAAAAGAAAGAAACATAACCAAAGGTTCAAAGTCAGTGAGAGTGTGAAAGCCATGCGAAGCATAATGCTCTCATGGAGCGTTTTGAAGACACATTATTTGCCTTCATCTCCTAAACCTTCAAAATCTTGTAACGCCCGTTTCTTTTCTTTCAACTATATATTTCTCCAAGAACCACTCTTCGAAGCTCTCTCTTCACAACTTAAATCTCATTTTTTCCAGGTATTTCTATTGAATTTCGTAACTTCAACAACTGAACGAATCATTTTAGTTAAAATTTGAAATGACAAGGTTTTTTTGTTATGTAGGGACTCCAGAAAGTGGTGTGACAACAGAAGTGATAAGTGGTTTGGGCGCTCTCTACAGGTAGTGTTAGAAAATCAAGATGTCCTTGCAAGTTTTCTTAGCAATCTTGTTGTTCTTCTTAGTTTTATAATTAAAAAAAAAGAAAAAAAATTGTTATACATTTTAGAGAATGTTATGCCTAAAAATCAAAGTTGAAGTAAGCTCACATCAATAAGCACCAATTAGAGTTCAGGAAACTTTGCACCATCTAGAATCTGCCATGTTGCCCTAAGACAGAGAGAATATGATTGTCACCAACCCAACAGATTCAAGTTTTGTCTGTAAATAAATGAGATCTGCACACCTGTCCAAGCCCCAGATAATTTGAGGACATCTCTTAAGTTATCAACCAATAGGACATAAGGAAGGACTTGTACAGCACCTACCCACTTGTAGACTTGTAATCATTACCTTGAATTCAACAGCTATAAATAAAGGACTCCCTTTCACAAAATTAGGATCTCTGATTTTCATAATCACAAATAGCAAAGACAACACACGGGAAAGAGACTGGCTTAATATTTCTCTCTGAATACACAATCCTTGTACTTCTGTTTGCTGTTCACGATCTCTTGTAATTTGGCTAATAACCAGGAACACTTATATAAAATACAACAATGGATGTAGGAATCGCTTTAAGAATCTAAATCACTATAAAAGTCCCACTGTCTTATTTATTATTCAGTCTTTGCACTTTGTTATAACCTTATATTCACTCAAATTAATCACGTGTAATTTCTAAGACTCTCTTAGCACTTTGCACATGCGAGGTCGTTAGTGTCAAAATCACGCATCAACAGTTTCGCGCTAGAAGGAGGGCAAGATTTCACATCAGCTCTTCATCCAGTATTTTTAATTGATCAATCAGTTTTACTAGTAAACTTATAGCTCGAGGTCTTGAAACCGATCGCGCTATCACCAACAACAAGGAGACCTCCCGAGTTTAGGAGATTACTCCTCCCGAAGTAACTTCACCTCCCAAAAGTACTACGATGGGTAACCTCTCAGCTTCTCAGCCAGATCCGGCTATCATAGATTATTTGAAAAGGTTTAACAACACCCTTCAAATGATGAACCAAAGATTAGATCGTCTGGATCAGGTTATGCCACCCAATACTAATAAGGTGGTACCATCTCTAAAAACACTTGTAGGTCATGCTAAAGCGTGGAAACGAGCAAAAGCTCATACCGCGCACACTATAGTGCGCAAAGAAAAGGGAAAGCAAGTGGCTAATCATGGGCTGAAAGGCTCTAAAGGGCTAGGGAATAATGGTCGCGAGACAAAGAGAATACATGTAGCTTTGTGACTTGGCAATATGTCGCACTGTGAGCCATCTCATGCCACATCGGAAAGGCACCCCCATAAGAGTGCTTGGCAGGGAGATTCCTACCATCGCCAGAATGATGGTCCTGACCATCGCCGCGAGGGAAATATCCATTGTCTGTGGGTCAGTTCTGACCACCACGAAGATAGGGAGAACTCCCCAAGCCATTCAGTGCCTTCACAGGGCTTTAGATAGCATGTGTCAAGGCACGTCGAAGGCTCTGGCCAAGGCAGGGAAGATTCTGACCTACAGTCCTTCCTTGATTGCAATCATAGGGAATGTACCTACATTGCGAAAAGTGATCCCCAGAGGGCTCCACTTCCTCAAATAGAAGAGTTACAACGAGCTCTGGATCAACTTAGAGCTCAACAAAATGAGCAGGGGCAGGTCGTTGAGGTGTCTCCCTTTTCTTCAATAGTTTTGACTGCTCCTCTCCCATTAAGATTTAGAATGCCCGAGATAAGAGCATTCGATGGGAATTCGGATTCGCAAGATCATCTCTATGAGTTTAACGACCTCATGGAGCTTCACCAAGTTTCCAACTTGGTGAAGTGTTACTGCTTAGAAATGACTCTGACTTCCCATGCTAAACATTGGTTCAATTGCTACCACCAAGGTTTATCAACTCGTGGCAGTAGATGAGTTTGTTATTTTTTAGACACTTCCAATCCAATAGGAAGTTCTCAATGCCGTTAAGCTATCTCAACAACATATGACAGGAGAAGAATGTATCTCTCTAGTCCTACATTGACATATTTCACAGGGAACTGAATAAGGTGGCTAATATACCTGAAGATTCAGTTCAAACTCTAATTATTGTTGGAGTTCGCCTGCAAACTGACCTATGGAAGAAACTACAATCTAAGGACAATATTTCTCTCACTCACTTCTTCAACCTTACAAAAAAATATCTAAGAATAGAAAGTTCAGTGACAACTTTAGGTCCCCACGACCCCAAGCCTTTAATCAGCGCTCCCAGTTGGAGGGAGAAAAATCAGGGGAGAGTAGTAGAAGATCTAATCGTAAATGGCCTAATGACGATCAAAGATTAGGAAAGAAACAACGGTTTGAGCCCAAGAAATCCTATGCCTAAGTTCCCTGTCGTGATCGTGACTGAGATCTATTTACTTCGCTTAATGCATCAGTTTCAGCTATTTTGGATAAGTCAGAAGAAGCTAATATGTTTACAGAGCCAGAGCCCATGAAAAAACCCACATCTACAAGAAACAGCAAAAAATATTACTATTACCATTAGGATAATGGGCACCATACCAATGAGTGTCGAGCTCTTAAGTAGGCAATTGAAGACCTCATTCAAAAAAGGTACTTCAAGGAGTATGTTGATGGTCTAACTCCCACTAGAGAGAAGGATCAAAAGGGTGATGGAAAGAAGCGTTTAGGTCGCAAGGGTCTCCATCTAGTAAGGACTATCTTTGTAGGACTGCATATTGCTAAGAACTTTCAAAGTACTCAGGAGAAGTATGCTTGAAAGGCTCGGCATAAGCCCTTAAATGTCCTAAATCTAGCCACGACCTAGTAAGGTGCGCAGAGAAGAAAAGATTACCTTTTTAAAAAAAGATGCGATACGACTACATCATCCTCATGAGGATGCACTGGTCATGCAGCTGAAATAGGAAGGTGCGAAGTCCACAGGATGTTAGTGGACAATGGAAGCGTCGTGAATATCTTGTTTCAGTGAGCTTTCGAGGAAATGCAATTAGAAAAGACAGATTTGAAGCCTATCTCCATTCCTCTGTATTGGTTTACAAGAGATCATCTGATTCCTAGAGGAACAATTTCACTTCCTATCACTTTGAGACAAAACCTCGAAATGACCAAAATGACAGAATTTCTACTGGTGGATTGTCCATCAACTTTTAATGGCATCTTGTGACAACCTCTACTACAGGATTTCAAGGATGTCACCTCCATTTACCATCTAAAGATGAAGTTTCTCACTCTGACAGGGTGTGAGGAAGTCAAGGGATCTCAGCGTAAATCTCGTGACTGTTATGTTAGAGCAGTGCAGATGGCATGCAAAGGGA